TTACAAATACCCCATCAAAGACCTCAAAGATGAAACCTGGCACTTGCTTTCTCAAGGTGAACACCTTCTCAAACCCAGACGTTCAAATCGCCCGACCGTAGCTTGCTCCTTGACCCAAATTAATCAACACAATCCGAACCCATGCATTTAAAATCCGCCTTCTGCCTGCACAGTGTCACGTCTTTTCAAACGAGAACTTATTTTAGAAAGGCCTGGACTGGCTGTAAGTGGAAACACTGGCACTAGCATGCTGCTCGGAGACAAAAAAAACTCCAGCTGGCTAAACTCAAAGTCTCAAGTAGGTAGCGCAACACAAAAAAACATTAGATATGCTTTACGGGGCTTTCTGAGGAAAGCTGCTTTATACTATGGGCCTGTCTGTCAGGCACTTCGGCTGGCCGGGGAGATGCCCGAAGGGAACATGTGCATTATCTATTAGTTTAAGCCCCGTGTCTGTAGGGGAAAGCCCTCCATCTGTGGCTAACCTCAGCAGGCACAGGCCTGGATGGTATCCACCCTCTTTCTGGCAAGAGAGACGACTTACTGGAGAGACGCAGCACGCAAGGAGCAGCACTGGGGCCGGTGGCATTTTCTTTTGTAAGAAGAGCCCTTTACCTTGCAGAAGGGATGACTGGGAAGGTTTCACATCCTTTGACACGTTCTAAATATGAAACGTCAGTCAGTATAAAAGACTTTATTCTTCCATAATGGGCAGAAATTTTTTCAGTAAGACCATTTTCTGTGTCTGCCTAAGAATGGAAACTGTGTTGAAATCATTGGGAACTGTATACTGTTTAAATACTATGTGAAACCGGTGCTGTTTATAATAACTAAAGCAAAAACTGTATATATATAATATATATAAAAACTGTATATATTTTTGGCAACTTACTAAAATAAATACATTTAAAGGGTTAGTGCACCCAAAAATGAAAATTAGGCTTCATTTACTCACCCCCAAGGCATCCTAGGTGTATATGACTTTCTTCTTTCAGACGAATCCAGTCGGAGTTATATTAAAAATTGTCTTTGATCTTTCAAGCTGTTTAATGCCACTCAGCGGGTGTTGCATGCATCAGTCCAAAAGAACTTAAATAAAAATCGCCCATCCATAAAAAAAAGTGTCTCACACGGCTCCGGGGGGTGAACAAAGGCCTTCTGTAGCAAATCGATGCGTTTTTGTAAGAAAAATATCCATATTCAAAACGTAATAATCACTTGAATCTAGCTTGTTGTAAACAGAAGCCGTTCCGGGGGAATGACGTATGAGGTCGGAAACGCACGTGGAAGTGACGCACGTGGAAACGCAGGGGAGAGATCAACAACGGTCAAGAATTAGAAGTACAAAACGAGGATTTGTAAAGAAGAATGTCGGAGGATTTCGATATAAGCCAAGAGGAGACTGGTTTTCCTTTGCTAAAGTAAGGAAACTTTGCTTCCTTTGATCCTGTAAACAAACGTTGGTTTTCACGAGACTCACCGGCGCATGCGCAACGCTGACCTCAGAGGTCATCC